TTTTTTCTTTTCATTCATCCTCATTCTCTTCCTGAAAAATCTCACCTTGTTTCAAGGCTTTAATTATCAGCTGTATGCTTATTGTTAAATCCTCTGATCTAGCCTCTTTTTCTGAGCGCCAGACTTATGTACCCAACTGCTTACTGGGCATCTCTTCCTGGATGTCCCATAGTCCCTCAAACCCCATATGTCCACATTGGAACTCATACTCCCCACAGCCTGTTTCTCCTGTGTGTACCTATCAGTGCTTGGTTTTAAAGGTCATGTCTTAACCAAGCTAGAACCCCAGAGGTCCCATCTGACTCCTCTCTCTCCATAAAACCCCATTTGTATTAGTCTGCTTAGACTGCCATGACAAAATATCATGGGCTGGGTGACTTAAACAACAGAAATTTATTTTCTCACAGTTCTGGAAGCTGGAAAGTCTAAGATGAATGTGCTGGTAAATTTAGTTTCGGTGAGGGCTTTTTTCCTGGCTTGTAATGGCCACCTTTGTAATGTGTCCTTACATGGCAGGCAGAGAGAGAAGTTCTCTGGTCAGAAGTTCTCTTTTCTCTTCTCTTCTTATAAGGACACTAATCTGATTGGATCAGGGCCCCATACTTATGGTCTCATTTAACATTAATTGCTTCCTTAGAGGCCGTAGCTCCAAATATAGCCACATAAATATTACAGTTTCAAAATATAAATTTTGTTGGGTGTTGTGGGTGACACAAACTTTCAGTCCTGAAAACCATCCATCAGTCACCAAGATCTTTAATTCTTTGTAACAGTGTGTGAAATGCCCACTTCTCTCAACTCCCATGGTCATTAATTAAGGTCTGATACCATCATCTTTCTTTCATCTGATCTACTGTGGCAGGCATCCTTCCTGTTTCCCTTCTTCCAGCCTGTCCCTCTGTCATCTGCAGCTGGGTAGCCTGTCTCAAATGCAAATCTGATCAAATGTTTTCGACGTCCTCCCATTACTCTCACAATAAATCCAGTCCTGTGTGGCTCACAAAGACCTCTGTGACCTGCGCCTTGCTTGCACGCCTGATCTTATCTCTCACAGCGCCCCACTGCCTTAGGCTGTTTTGTGTTGCTGTAAATGAATACCTGAAGTTGGGCAGTTGATAAAGAAAAAAGGATCATTTGGCTTATGATTCCAATGACTGGGAAGTTCAACACTGAGCATTTGCCCTGGGTGAGGCCACAGGCTGCTTCCACTCATGCTGGAAAGGGAAGGGGTTCGGTGTGTGCAGATATCACGTGCTGAGAGAGGAAGCAAGCAAGAGAAGTGGGAGGTCCAGCTCTTTTTAACAACCGATGTTTGAGGGAACTAATAGAGTGAGAACTCACGTACCCTCCCCCCCATCTCCATGACCCAGACACCTTCCATTAGGTACCACCTCCCAATATGGCCACACTGGGGATGACATTTCAGCATGAGGTTTAGAGGGGACAAACATCCAAACTACAGCACCCACCTTGTGCTCAGTGCTCCAGGCTAAAGATACATCCACTTTCCCCAAGGAACCACACTTTTGCTCTTGCTCTCTCTTACAAGTCTTTAAGAACTTACTGTTTTTTCCTGTAGTTGTGTTCTACTCCTTCTCCCTCCCTCCTCTCCTTTCTTTTTCCCTGTCTCCTCCCCAGCAATTGAAGAGCCTGGCTCGTGTTTACACATCTTCAGGTCTCAGCATTGTCAACACCACTTTCTCCTGAAAGCTTTTCCTACCCTCTAAGGCTGGGTTGGTGTCCTTCCTCCAGAGACTCCTGTGCTTACTCATCTCTCCTTATGGTGTCCCAGAGTCTAGCACAGAGTTTGGCACACAGCCAGCTTTCACTAATTAGAAATGGATGAACACATCTCGCCCACCGTTTAGGTCAGTTAATCAGGAAATAAACCTGTTCTGTTCTGGTAACAGTGTCCTCCACCTCTGAAGGAAAAAGTAAACCACAACTACATGATATCAATGTGCTGTTTTAGGGGAGTCAGCAGGTGACATATAGGACAGAGCTCTGCGGGGTGGGTGGGAATGGTCATGGATGCAGGGAGGTCAGCTCAGCCACTGTGTAGGAGGGTGTCCCCTCATCTGCTGCCAGCCTCTCATGACAGCTTTATGTCTCTGTGCGAATGAATGACTGCAAACCTGAGAGGTTTTTAAAACCTCCAACAACGCTAATGCTACATAGATAAATAAGTGAATAAGAAAACGAGAGTGCTCACTTTGGTGGCACATGTACCAAAATTGAAATGACACAGAGAACATTAGCACAATCCCTGCACAAGGATGACACGTAAGTTTGTGAAGTGTTTTAAAAAAAAATCAGAAATGTGTTTCTTATTCTCTAACTAAACTAACTTTATGTCACAAAACAAGTGATACAAGTAAATCTGGTGCGTATCATTTACCAAATTCTAATAATTTCCAACTTATTTACTGATTTTAGAAAAAAAATGTTTTTGTGGTTTTCACTGACTAAATAATGCTCCTTTCTGAGCCGTGATTCAACACAAGAACCACATCAAGCTCTTTCAAGGACTTTACTGTTAGCAACGGTGTGCGTGTAGATGCCATCACCTCTTCCACAGGGGGACTTGGAGAACCCATGTCCCAGCCTCACCAATAATACCAGCGCTAAGGTGCTGCCCACCACTTACTCTGTTATTCCAACCCAGACCCATGTGGCACAGTGAGGCCTCCTGGGGCCGCCACTGCTGCCTCCACTACAGCATCGGTTAGCTGAGGGGCCGCCCTCCCTAGACCACCAGTTTGGTGGTCTAGTTTTGGCAGTTTGGAGGTTAAAGGCAAGATAGAGTTGGTTAGATCCAATCTCTCTCACAGTCGTAATTCTCACTGTTACAATTTTTTGGACTGTTACCTCTTTCTCAATTGTTCTCCTTCCTCCTACCCTCAATTCTACCTGCTAATATTTCATGCCTTCTTCAAGGCTTAGCTGACGTGCTGCCACCTCCTATGAAGGGATTCTTGATCCCTCCAACCAGATTTTAATCTTTCTATCACATTTATTCCTTCTCTTATGACCTTGACCCTACTAGACCTTACATTTTTACATCAGCATTTGCATAGCTTTAAAAATATTCTATATTTTCCTAAACTGATGAGCCCAGAGAGAAATTTACTTTCCTTTTCATCCCCTGAACATCTAGTCTAGAGCCTTTCACATAACAGATATATACTCCTTTTTGGGTGGGATTTGGAATTATTATTCTTTTCTTTTTTAGTGAGTTCCCAAGGGAAAGTTCTAGAACCAAAGTGAAAGCTACAGAAAGAAATGTTTCGGGTTTCCGCATTTCTCTAAGCCTTACATTCTTCCTCTGCCAAAACGTGGGTGATAATGGTACCTGCCACGCAAGGTCATTGTATGGGTTAAATGAGACCATATGTTATGTAGCACAAAGTCCGCCATGCCGTAGTGATCAGGAAAGAGCAGTTGTTTTTGCTGTTATTATTACTTTGCTCTACTACAGCTGTCTAAGTATGCAAAATGCTGCCACACAGATTTCCTTTCTTTCACTAGTATTTGGTAATTCTTTCATTCAGCTTACATGTATTCTCTAACTGCTGATACTGAAAATTCTATACTTGGAAAAAATTCCTGACAAGTCTCCTGTCTTCATGGAGCTCAGTCTAGAGTGGAGTCAGATATTTATTTAGCCATTATGCAAAGAGAATACATGGTTCTGCAGGACCGTAGTTTAGGGAGCCTTGACCTAGTGAGAGTGGTCAAGGAAGATGTTCCTGAAGTGTTCAAGTGTGACTGGTCAACTTCCTGGAGATAGTAGTGTAGGGGCTAGTTTGACCAGGGCTGGTATAGGGTAAGGCAAGTGAGGCACTTGCTGAAGGGACAAAATTCAAGGGAGCCTCAAAAGGTTCAGCCATCAAGATAAACAATTTTTTAATGCGATATTAAAAATAAAAATTAATGCAAAAGTTCACAATGAACAAAATATCAAAATTTGGATAAAGACAGGATCAGTAACAATGTTGTGTTGAATCATGTTGGAGGCTTAGGCAAAAGGAAAAAATCAAATGCTGATCCTTAGTTTAAGCCCTGGATTTGACAGGGTAAGAATACCTTTAAAAGTCTGTATCAAGACATTCTGGAAAACTATGTACACTTACATGGAAACTTCTAATTCTATCCAGCAGAGGGCAGTGATGCCTAAATAAACAAAGGCTGTTGCTGTCAATTTCATCAATCATCATCATCAAATTTGGGGAGGGATTAACTTAAAGGTTAAAAGTTTTTGCAGTGGAAATAGGGTATGCTGTGGAAACTTTATGTAACTCTGGTGTTAGAGGACCAACAACCTCTTATAAACTGCCATATGACAAGCTTTCCTTTTAGTAGATGTATTTTTACAGATATGATTTGAAATGTAGCTAATTCCAGGACTTAAACCATGAAGCCATGTAGCGAAGAGTGTTCTGTAATTTTTTTTCGGGAGTGGGGGAATTTTTGGAGGCAGCAATCAATTAGTGGCTGATTTTCTTTTCATTCCTGTCTTCTTTCAATATTAGAATAAGAGACTTAGAAAAGAAGCTGGATGTCATGTAGAAAAAGAGATCACCTCATCTGCAAGATGAGGAAGCTAATGCTGGGGAGGTTGGCCTATTTATTTGTTAATTCACTTGTTCATTCATTATCTCATTTATTCAAGGATTTCACAAGCATTTATTGTCTACCAGGTGACAAATACTGTTGTGACACAAATGGACATAGAGACTCAGATAAATCACAGTGCTCACCTTTCATGAACAACCTACTTGAGAATAGGAAACAGTGGCAGAAATAGATACTTGAGATACTTAGGTTCAGTTGGTGTGCTGAGATATATGGCAAGCACTGTAGGAACTTGGTTCAAGAGCAGCTAACAGGTCTTCATCTGTTTACTGTTAAGGGTATTTTTGGAATCTATGATAATTTTGGAGGCTTAGTACTTTGTTTTTATTTGACTCTGGTTTTGGCACAAAAAATACCTCTAATTAAACTTAATGTATTTCTCAGGTTCTAGTTCAATGGGGACATCCATCACATACTTCTTGATGACTGCCTGAGAAACAGGTTGGAAAGGCTAGTCCCTAGAGAAATAATCTAGGCACGTAGTTTGAAAACTGTACCTTGGGAAACTCTAGGGCAGTGTTTCTCCAGTGTGGTCTGTATTGCCTGCATCAAATACTTTAGAGTACTTGTTAAAAATCAGAATTTCCTTCCTGGAGACCTATAGAATCAGACTCTGGAGGGATTGGGGGTAGGGAGGGCAGGAACCTGCACTTCCACAAGTGTTCCAGGTAGTTCTTATGCATACCAAGGAGATCAAGGGGCTCTACTCCTTGTCTTTGCCAGCTCACATAGACCCTTCAACCAGATCACCTCTTCTTCTAAAGTGTAAGTTCCATGAGGTCTGGGTGTTTTGTCTATTGCGTTTACAGCTGTATCCCTTGTACTTTGAACAATGGCGCATAATAAATATTTGTTGACTGAATAAATTAATGTGTTATATAAATTGAATTTTTATTTTCAAGCTTATTTTGACCAAGGTTTCTAATATAGACAAAAAAAAAAAAAAAAAAAAAGAGTGCCTAGACCATGGTTTTGGACCATCCTCTTTCCTTAAAGAAGGGAAGCCAAGATAGCTGAAAGCCCTTAGTTTTCTGAGCCCCTGTTAGATAATTACGTTGAGTGTGGAACCCAGTTAGCCACATTTTCAAGGCCAACTTCCTATTGCCTTCAAATAACAATCTGTTAACCATAAGTATCATTCCTGCATTTACTCCAATGAAGACTGTATTTTAGAAATGTCAAGTGTCAATTACTGGTGAGTTTGATTTCCCATCCAGCTGTCCTGACTAGTAGACCAAAGCTCTTAAGGCTGGATTGTCTGACACTCTTGATTCAATTTAAGGCACAGCAATAATGTGACTTTCTGTGGGTTTTTACGTTGACAGTGATGGAGCTGGACCTACGCACCTCCACTTGGATCTTATGCTCAGTAAGATGACGTTTTTGATTTTTGTGAGGGAAAAGCTCTTGCTTTTGTGACCCATGTGTTCAATTCTACGACTAAAAGTTATTTATTTATTCATGTATTGTTTGAGATGGAGTTTCGCTTTTGTCACTCAGGCTGGAGTGCAATGCCTCCATCTCAGCTCGTTGCAACCTCCGCCTCTTGGGTTCCAGTGATTCTCTTGCCTCAGCCTTCAGAGTAGCTGGGACTACAGGCCTGTAACACTACACTTGGCTAATTTTGCATTTTTAGTAGAGACGGGTTTTACCACGTTGGTCAGGCTGGTCTTAAACTCCTGCCCTCAGACGATCAGCCCACCACGGCCTCTCAAAGTGCTGGGATTACAGGTGTAAGCCACCACGCCTTGCCTGAATGTTACTTATTTATTCATTCATTTACCTGTTTTTTATAAGTATCAATTGAGCATTTCTGTCTAGAAATACCTTTAGTCAGCTTTACAAATACAATTGGGTAGTCGTTATATATTGAAGGACAGAATCTACTTGTTATTTTGTAATGGAACTGCCAGATTTGTGTGTTTTTTTGTGGATGCATTGCTGAAAGTGAAGTCCTTGGATAGAAAAGGGGGTAGTCTTTTATTCCTGCTTCTCTCTTCTCAGTACAAATAGGGATCAACTTAAAAAAAAAAAAGAAATTATAGATATAAGCTCTGTTTGTATGAATTGGGGCCTGAAATCAAGAAGTGGATTATAGGAAGGGAGGGAAGCAATGTGGAGTAAGAACAACCGGTGTGGATATTATCTTTGTTTAGGTTCCCCAAAAGCAGGATGCTGAAACAAGAGTTTAGGTGTAGGCAGCTTCTTTGGAGGTGATCCCAGAAGGCATGCAAGGGAGTAGAGAAATGAGACATAGTAGGGATCCTCCCCTTAGAGATGGGGTGGACTGAGTCTCTGAATGTCACCCTGAATGACGAGGAATTTTAGGTTATCCACCAAATTGCACCCCTCATTAGTTAAGGGTTGTCTGGGAGCATTCACTACCTGATACTTTCAGCCTGTGTCTTTCCTCCTTTGTGTAGTTAGAGGATGACCTCAAATAAATGATGCTGCAGGAAGTCTTGATAATAAATGGGAACTGTGCAGGTGGCCCCTGGGCAGCTAGGGGGAAGCATGACTTTAAGATGATATATCTACATGGGATGGTGAATTTTATGAGTCAACCATTATTGTGGGTGTTTCTGTGAGGGTATTTTTGGGTGAGATTAACATTTAAATCAGCAGAGTTAAATAAAGCAGATTGCCCTCCATTTTATAGGTACGCTTCATCCCATT